TCTTTAGCAGCATTTTTGTTTGTATGTAATACGAGTGATATTGTGATAATTTCTGTTCTCTGTGGGGGTCATGTGTGTTGTTTTTTTTTTTTGTTTTGTTTTGTGTTTTTGCCATGTAAATAAATATGGATCTCTTCCATTCAGTTGGCCAGGTAGGTATCCTCCAGATTTCTAGGAACAACCTAGAGCATGTGCAAGACAGCATCTGTTGAAATATCTCAATTGATATTACATCATTTTCTGGGGGCTTGTTTTTAGCCAATTCTTTCAGAATAGGGTAAACTTCCTTCATCACCATTGCCTCTTGAACATAGTTGCTTCATGAAATTCTTCTGTGTCAGCAATTTCTTTTTCATATATTGACTCCATGTTCTCCTTCCATCTTCTTTTGATGCTTTCTAGATAATTCAATATTCTGCCCATAGCATCCTTAAGTATTGCATCTCAAGACTTGTATTTGTTCTTCAGTTCCTTCAGCTTAAGAAATGCCAAGTGAGTTTATCCCTTTTGATTTTCACACTCCAGTTCTTTGCACATTTCATTATAATACTTTGTCTTGTTTTCCTGTGTTGTCCTTTGAAATCGTCTGTTCAGCTCTTTAACTTCCTGATTTTACCTTTTGCTTTAGCTTCTCGGCACATTAGTGCAATATTCAGAGTCTCTTCCAACATCCACCTCGTTTTCTCTTCCTCCTTTTTCTTTGTAATGCCCTTTAGCATTCTTCATGGATATCTTCTATATCTTCATTGTTGATATCTTCCCACAGCTCATCTGGTCACTTATTAATACTCAAGGCCTCAAACCTGTTCCTGCGATGGCTTTTTAATTCAAGTGGGATATATTTAAGGTCAAATTTTGGTTCGCAGGGAATGTTTTAAGTTTCTGCTTGAACCTGCATATATGTAGGTGGTGATCTGTTCCAAAATCAGCACCTGGACTAGTTTTCACATTTGATATTGAACTTCTCTAATAATTTCTTTTCACAGATGTATTCAGTCTGATTCCTGTGCACACCATCAGGTGAGTGTACGGTTGTCATTTATGTTTCTTATAAAAGATATTTGCAATGAATAAATAATTGACTGTAGAAAATTCTACCAGTTTATCTCCAGCCTTGTTTCGGTCACCAAGTCCATGTTTTCCGACTACTGATCCTACTTCTCTGTTCCCAACTTTTGCAGTCTAGTCACTCATTATTATTGTTACCTCTGGTTGTATGTTCTATTGATTTCTGACTGCAAAAGCTGGTAGAAATCTATTTCTTGCTCTTTGGCTCTGGCTGTTGATGCAAATATTTGAATGATGGAAGTATTAACAGGTGTTTGTTATCCTGTAGCTCACAACATTATATTTCAATTGGATCTGGGAATGAACTTTTAAATTATGAGTGGGACTCCCTTTTCCCTCACCTTTTCATTTCAAGCATAGTATATCATTTGATTGTCTGATTCAAAATGTCCCATGCCAATCCATCTCATTTTGTCATTGTCTAGCATGCCAATGTTTATATGTCTCATTCTTTTCTTAACAGTGTCCAATTTCTTACATTTATGCGTCTCACATTCCATGTCCCAACCCAATCATTAGTGTTTGCTTGCAACTGTTTCTCCTCTTTTGTGTTTGCCAACCAGAGATCTCAGCCACAGGTGTCATATCTTCTAGTCTAACCTAAGCGTGTTGTATTGTTTATAGGATTTTTGAAGGCCTATTGTTTCAGAAGTAGATGGTAAATTTTTCTCCCTAGTCTGCCTTAATTTAGATGATCATCTTTAGAGTAATATCTGACAGGTATATGTCTGCCTAAATTTAACCCAAGGATCTCTGGTAGAATAGTTTGCAGCATGTCACACTGCTAACGTTAAAAAAAAACACAAAACACAAAAAACATTTCTTCCTTGGTTTTAACTCACCCTCAAGGGAGACAGATGGGCAGTTTCTTTTCTTATGATGTATAACCTTGCTGGCAAAACTGGACTTCCACCTACAGAAAGCTGAAACAGGATCCATATCTCACACCATACACAAAAATCAACTCAAGGTGGATCAGAGACCTGGGACTAAAGCCCAAAACCTTAAAGTTCATAAGCAAGAAACTGGGATCAAACTTAGAAGGCCTAGTCTGTGATATAAAGACACTGCCAAAAACAGCCATAAATGTAACAATCTGAAGAGGATAAAACTGATGAATGGGACCTTCTAAAGATTAAATCCCTGTCTATATAAAAAACTTTTCCCAACAGGGTGAAAAGAAAACCCACCAACTGGGAACAAATATTTGGTAATACCATCTCAGACAAGGGTCTCATAACAAAATTTTACAGAATACTCCTGGGCCTCCATAAGAAAAAGACTGATAATCCAATTATAAAATGAGCAACAGACATGGAAAGAATTTTCACAGAGGAAGATATTCGAATGGCAAACAGACACATGAAGAAATGCTCCAAGTCACTGTCAGTAAGAGAAATGGAAATAAAAACTACAGTGAGATACCATCTCCCTCTAGTAACAGTGATGAAGTTTTAACAGGATAGCAAGTAATAAAAGTTGGAGAGGATGTGGCGAGATAGGAATTCTTACACATTGTTGGTGGGATTGTAAAATGGTACATCCGCTCTGGAAGACAGTTTGGCATTTCCTCAAAAAACTGAACACAGAAATTCTATGACCCAGCTATTCCACTGCTTGGAATATAATTTGCAAAAATGAGAACTAAGGCACAATGGAGTACACCAATGTTCATAGCAGCATTATTTATCTTCTCAAGAACATGGAAACAGCCCAGATGTCCAACCACAGTCGAATGGATTGAGACATTATGATACATTGACACAATGGAATACTACACAGCATGCAGAAGCAATGATTTTTCAAATTATTACCTATCTTGGAAGGAACTGGAGAGCATCATGCTGAGCGAACTTAGTCCCACAAGGACAAATATTGTATAAAATCATTATTATAGAATGAGTATGAAGAGCCAAAGGGGAGGGAGGGTCAGAGCAGAGGGGTGTTGAGGGTGAGTGGATTAATCATGGGGTTGTACAATTTGATGGGGGGAGGTGATGGGAATTGGAAGAATCTGGTCTGAAAAGCACAGAATTCCCCAGCAAATTGAATTTAGTTATTCCTAAGTAAAATACCTGCTTGGTTTTTAAGATTTCCATCGATGAAAAAAAATATGCCCTTTAAATAAGAGTTGCAAAGATTACCTGTACAAAATCTCATTCATATATTCCTCATTATAAGGTTTTTCAAATAGAAAGACAAATACTAATGTTACCAAACTACAAAGCTTTTGGGATTCCTGTGCTGCTTTGATTAGAAAGAGCTCCATCTACATTGCTAAAGAAAGTTCTTGAAACCTGACTTTCTATGACAGGACCAGAATTCAAGTCAGGTACTCTTGACTTAAATTCTTAACTTATGCCATTAGGTAACATCAGAAAGCCATTTATGAGACATCGGGCTACCAAGGATCTGTTTTCTTTTTTAAGCACAGATTTGTTTTTCTGTCTTACACCAATTATTTAAATTAAAGGAGAATCTTTACTGTCCGGGGAGGGGGGCAGTGGGGAGGAGTATCTTTAATTGTAAATCATATCTAAAAATAAAATATACTTATAACTAAATGCTTAATGAACAGTAGACTGCATAAAATTTCATTATGTATAACCCTGTTTGCTGAAACTGAGGAGGACCTGAACTCCTTGCTGCAGAAGATTAAGGACTACAGCCTTCAAAATGGCAGGTTTCAGGGCTATTATTGTACATGGGGTTGCTATGAGTCTCAAGTGACTTGACAGAACATAACAACAACAACAATATATATTGTAAACATTTCCAACAAGTATGTTCCTCAAATATTGCTGTTTATCATTTATAAATCTTTGAAATACATCACAAAGAAAACTAACAGTGGACAAGATCTGAGAAATCCTGTTGGACAGGATTTGAAGTATCTAGCAATCAGTTTAAATAAATAGCTATCTTACGCATTGAGTGGATAGGGCGGCCTCTGCTTCCATTTACTTTAAACTTGATGTTAAAAATTTATGATTAAACATTTAAGGGAGGAAATTATGAGCCATATGAAAGGGGAAAAATGTGTTCAATCTGTACTGGTTTCAGATTTTTCTTTTTTAAAAATGTTTAAATTATTTTTAAATTTAATGAATATAGAAACTTTGTATTTCCGTTCATTCATTGTTGCACTTTTCTCCCTGCCCACGCCTCCCCCTGCCAGTACACTCTTCTCTGAAAAGTAAAATTCTTTCATTATTTTACAATCTCTCCCCCCAGGTCCACTCCAGTCTGCAGCAGCCTTCATTCTGGACTCCTGTCATGACAATAATACCTAAAGTTTCAGACTTTTCTAGTAACTGCCTGTGTCACACTGGGCCAACCACTGCACTGTTGTAGGCAGTTTCTCCATACTTAAAATGTGGATGTTTTCACAGCGATTGTTCATAGAATTTCTATAAGTCATAGTTGAATCAACAGCATACAACAACAAAACAACAGTATCAAGACGATGACAACATGAAAAGACAATATTCAGGTGAGTTACGAAAGAAAACTTTGCATTAAATAGTAAAGAATTGAGATTATGCCCCTGGTAGTTTATGAAATGATTATTATTAAATAATACAGTGTCAGAAATAATTGTCCTAAAATCAGAAATACATAGACATTGGGTTAAATTAAATGGATTTCAATTAAATCCTAGGAAAATATTCTGGATTATGAGGGTTATTACATCATTATATCAGACACACAATAACTATTTCTGGTCAGTTTCAAACAATGTTAGAGCTGAATGGAGAAAATAAACTATATAATATTTCTATCTTTTAAAAAAATGTGGTCATTTGCTATATGTTCTCTAAGATTGCTTTTAATTCTCAAAATACTCTGTTTTTGTCATGGCGTCATGAGAATCTAAACCAGTGACATAATTTAGCACATTCAATTTTGATTTTTACTTTAAGAATACTTACAGTTAAGGCTGGTGGTCCTGGAGGACCCATATCTCCCTACAAATAGATTAAATGAAAAAGTTGCAGTTACAACCAAAGTCAAAGTCATTGACATGAAGTCTAAACTGACATAGGTCAACCCTCCTGCAGGTTTTCTGATCTAGGAAGAGTCTGTCCATCTTTCTTCCATGGAAGTGCTTTGGAATCAAACACTAGGGAGTCCTCACTTTGGGATTAGCAGCAGAACTCCCTATGGACTATGCTCCCAAAGCTCACGATCACAATAGAACCTATAGATTTATTGACAAATTTTCTGCATGAGCAGCTGTGATATTTATAGAAAATTCTGAAGAAAAAAGATATCATTTCATCTTGATAAAAATATCTGCAAAATAGAAAATTTACCTTGCGTCTTTTTGTTCTCAGGATTAAAAATCACCTCATATACCATGATAGGCGAATTTGCAGCAGAACTTGTTTTGAAAAATGAAAATTATCAAATTTTCTATTATTTTGTCTTCTAATCTAAAATTAGAAAGAGTATCTTTTCCAATTTGGTTATTTGCCAGTTGAACAGCTGGGGAGTGTCACATCAACAGATAATTTTCAGACAAAGTTAGTATGGGATCAGCAGAAATAAGAAGTGGATTTCCCTACTTTATGCCTCCCAGCTGCAAAAAGTGGTACCATTGCCTCTTTTAAAGCTCTGAATAGGCATTGCACTTGGCATCAATTTAAAGGGTTTGGTCTTATTTATGTATTTTTTTAAGTCCTAAAATTGTTGTGCTGACCTATGTGAATACAGATTAGCAGATGGACATATTGATAATTAAACTTCAAAATATTTGAAAAATAGTTCATCTAAGTGTTCTGGTTTACACTATATAATGTCTCAAGAACTTTATTTCAAGAGAATTCTCAGACTTTAAGACTATGCATCATTATGCAGTTATTTTTAGGTTGATAGTATATAAATTGTATTTGTAAGATATAATTATTTTACAGTCTTGTTTTATATCTTTATGATCAAGAGTATCTTTTTCTCATATATTATGATCATCTTAAAAGATAGAACTTAAACTTTATTATTTTATTTATTTAAATATTAAATTGTTACTTTTTAAAAGATTAAAACCCTACAATAGCTGTTAAAAAACACTGCTATAGCTTATATTAGTCACTAGAGATGGATTTGCAAGATTTTCTTTAATGTACAGGCAACTGTTAACCATTGATGAAGATGAATTAATGTGTTGAGTGTGGAGAACAAAATACAGTGCAAATCACACCCACCCAACTCTCATTAAACTGGGATCTCCAACTACCTCATTCAAAGCAACTCTTGCTTTTCTTAAATCCTCCTTTCAAAGCCAATGCTCATATATGTTAAAGAAATAGTAAATGAGAAAAAGTGAAGGGATGTGGAACACTGAGACTAAAATTGAGATACAAAATTAACCTCATTCTCCCAAAGAGGTACAAGCTTCTGCCTCATGGTAGGAGCTTAGTGCTACTAGAAAAAAATCACTGATAGAAGACTCACTTGCTAATTTAGTGACAGCACTTGCTAAGTTAGTGATAGCACTATCTAATTCTGTTAACCAAGGTGGGGGGGAACCCCACAAAACATTAACTAGAAAATAATAAAGATGTGAGTGATTATAAAATATTTTCAAAGTATTTAGTCTCTTCACACTAATTAAATGAACCTCCAATTTTTTTTTTCTTACTTAGATGCTAAAAAAGCAGCTAAACCTTATCAATGAGAAGTCACTCCACGGTATTTTAGTAAGAAAATGTTTGCACTTTGCTAGGTAAATACAGTACCTTTTCTCCTTTTGGGCCAGGTGGACCACGAGGACCCAGATCACCTTTCAAACCCTGTGTAAAGAATACAATCAATGTAATTGAAAGCTTCAATTTTGAAAAAGTCATTAGTAACACAATGAATCATAATTTACTGGACTCCTAAATTCCATTCTTTGCTTTGTAGTGTAGAGAGAAAAAAGGAGACAACTGGCATTAAAATGATAAGCAACATCTGTGCTGTGGTGGTACAGATCCTCTAAATCAGCGCCAGTCCTCAGTACTGCATTTTGGTGCAACTTTGCTTCCTGCTAAAATTATATTAATTCACCATCTGGGAGAAAATCATTTAGATCTATATGGGTTTTTGAGTATCCACTTTGGATTAAATTTGTGGATGTTGTAAATACCTCTGATTTAGCATTGATTTGCCCTTTATAAAGCTTGCCAAAAAATTCAAGAGTTACATCAAAAACATTTGTATGTCTCTATCAAGAAATCAAATTGTAGAGGCAAAAAGTATAGGATGCATTCCTTATTCAATGACTTATCGAATGGGAATAAAATGTAATCACTTTCCTGTTTTTAAAGTATGTTTTAGTTCAGTTATGCCTTTAATGATTTTTCTACCTGGACATATAGAGAGAACAAATTAAATTATATATAACATAGACAGAAATATTAGTTAAATACATGTTTTGAAGATGTTTATAGTGTGAAGTAGAAAAGGGTAGATTCTGACTGGTAAATAGGAAGGAGGGAAGTTCCTCCTCCTTAATAAAGCACACTGGATAAAGAAAGAACAATAAGGGGAAAAGAAATATTCCAAACCACATAACCCAGGAAGCCATGGTTATTTAGTCAATTCCAGCAGAAAGTAAATCTATAGGACAAAATGGAACTGCTCCATAAGGTATCCAAGGCCATAAATCTTTACTGAAGCAGATTGACGCACCTTTCTCCTACAGAGAAACTTGTGGGTTCAAGACGCAGATGTTTCATTAACAGTCAAGTGCTTTAATAACCACTGCTTCAACAGGGCTCTTCAAAACAAATAATACACAATAAATCACAGTCTTTTAATGTTCCTGGATGAGAGAATATAGCTATTTCTTACAGAATAATTAATTCCTATTAACATCACCATCAGTCATGTATAGCTAGAAACCAATGATGATGTGAAAGGAATAACATAAAATGTTTCTTTTATTATTACCTTCAAGGGGTGGAGGAGCAGGAAATATAAATAAATGAATAAAAATTCCAAATGATATCAGAGATATGAGATTCCATTATTAAATGAAATATCCTCTCCTCCCACATCAAGAAGCATGCATTCTCTTTATACATGCCTCCAAAGTAGAATTAGCAATATATTGTGAACACTCATGAAAGAAGATAGCACCATTTTTGTGACTAGATCTTATTATTATTTCACTCATTCATTTATCCATCCAATTACTAAATGAATATTCATTAAATTTCTATTGTGCCAATACTCCTCTAGGCTTTGGATCTACCTTGTCCGATACAGAAGACATGAGCCATATGTCTTTTTAGTGTAAAAATTGTGACTTGTCTCACCACAACAAGAAAAAGGTAAATAATACAATTGAAAAATGGGCACAGGATATGAACAGACACTTCACTGAAGAAGACATTCAGATGGCTAACAAGCACATGAAGAAATGTTCAAAATCCCTAGCTCTAAGACAGATGCAAATTAAAACAACGATGAGATACCATCTCACCCCAGTCAGAACTGCAAAAATTAAGAGAATAGCAAGCAACAAATGCTGGCGAGGTTGTAGAGAAACTGGAACCCTTATTCACTGTTGGTGGGAGTGTAAAATGGTGCAACCTCTGTGGAAAGTGGTATGGCACTTTCTCTAAAAGTTGCAAATAGAGATACCATTTGACCCAGCAATTCCACTACTGGGAATATACCCCAAGGAGACCACAACTGACACCCAAGCAGATATATGCACACCCATGTTTACTGTGGCTTTGTTCACAATAGCAAGGATTTGGAAACAACTTAAATCCCCATCAACAAATGAATGGGTAGAGAAGCTGTGGTATATTCACCCAACGGAATACTACGCTATATTGAAAAACAAGGAACTCATGCAATATTATTCAAAAGGGATGACCCTGGAGGACATTACGCTGAGTGAAGTATCTCAGTCACAAAAAGACAAATACTGCATGGTGCCACTGTTCTAAAATAGGACTGACCTTGGGTTGGGGAGAGACTGAGAAAGGTGGGTTCAGCAATGTATACTGCATTGAAACAGATGAGGGAGAAAACTGTTTAAAAGGGATATGTGATTAGGTATTTTTGTCATGATAGGAGTCTAGAGTGAAGGCTACATAGTGGAGTGGACCTGGGGGAAGGTTTGTAAAGCAATAAAAGAATTTTACTTTTACAAGAGGGTAGTGTACTAGGGGGGAGGGTTGGGAGGGGAGAAAAGTGCAACAATAAATGAATGGAAACCCAAAGTCTCTGTAAATTTTTACTGAAATGAATAACAAATTTAAATTTAAAAAAACGAAAAAAAATTTTTATAAATTGTGACTAGTCTAAATTGAGATGTCAGTGAAAGTAAAACATACACGTGACTTCTGAGATTCAATATAAAAAAAACAAAATAAACTATCTCAGTGATTATATTATATAGGCATGCCTTGGCACTAATTCAAGTTTGGTTCCTGACTACCTCAACAAAGCAAATATCACTATAAGGGAGTAACATGAATTTTTTTGTTTGTATTCCAGTACATGTGAAAATTACACACTACTAGAAGATTGTAAGCCACAGGTTAGTGCTGATAACCCAAAGATAATGTCTTTAGGTACAGGCTAACCCAATGATGATGTCTGATGACTCAAACCCACCAGAGCCCCTGAGGGGGGAAAGATTGGCAACTTTACAGTCTCAGAGAATCATGCTCACAGGTTAGCCATGTGCTCCAATCCAAAAACAATGTCAAAAGAAGACAAAAGAAATCCCAACCAGGTCTGTTAAGCATGTAGTGACATTATAAAGAAGTTTGAAATATTTTGAGAATTACAAATATGTGTGACCGAGAAATGATGTGACCACTGACTTTTGTACATACACTGTCAGTGGTCTGACTTTGTTATCACAAATCTTCAATTTTTAGAAAGTACAATATCTGCACAGTGTAATAAATTGAAATGAAACAAAATGAAGTATGTCTGTATTGACTACATGATTTGATTCAAATTGATTGATACAAAGGACAATATTTTGGATATTCTGTTGTTGTTCATTGCCTTCATGTCAAGCACGACTCATAGCGACCCTATGGACAAGAAAGAGGCCTGAAGCCCCTCTAGAACTATCCACATTTATCAAAGTTCATAGAGTTTCCGGAGACACGTTGTTTAGGAAGTGGATGCTACACCTACATTACAATTAAGTTCTTCCATTTGATGCTGTTCTTTTTACTCTGATTACTAGACAATAGCAGCCTATCCGTGTAAGAGTCGGACAATGTGTAAAGAAGACTGAAGAAGAATTGGTACTTGTGAGTTGTAATGTTAGTGAAGACTACTAAGTATACCATGGCTGAAAAAAGAATGAAAAACTCTGTCTTGGAAGGAGTGTGGTCAGGGTGCTACTTAGAGGCATGCAGGGTGAGACTTCCACTCACCTAATCTGAACATGTTATTAGAAAGAGCTAATCCTTTGCAACATTCTATGTCTAGCTCTTCCTTTTTGGTGTTAGTTTGCACCTCCTCTTTTGCTTTTCTCTTCTTTTTACCTTATAAAAGATAAAATGCAGCAACAAATGCTGGTGAGGTTGTGGAGAAACTGGAATCCTTATTCACTGTTGTTGGGAGTGTAAAATGGTGCAACCACTATGGAAGACAGTGTGGCACTTTCTCAAAAAGTTGCAAATTTAGATACCATTTGACTCAGAAATTCCACTACTGGGAATATACCCCAAGGAAACCATAACTGACACCCAAGCAGATATATGCACACCCATGTTTATTGCAGCTTTGTTCACAATAGCTAGGAGTTGGAAACAACCTAAATCCCCATCAACAAATGAATGGATAGAGAAGCTGTGATATAATCACACAATGTAATACTATGCTGCTTTGAAAAATAAGGAACTAAAAAAAAATAAGGAACTCATGAAATATTATTCAAAATGGATGACCCTGGAGGACATTATGCTGAGTGAAGTATCTCAGTCACAAAAGGGCAAATACTGTATGGTGCCACAGTTGTAAAACAGGACTAACCTCAGGGTTGGGGGGAGACCGAGAAAGATGGGTTCAATAATGTATACTGCATTGAAACAGATGAGGGAGAAAACTGTTTAAAAGGTATATGTGATTAGGTATTTTTGTTATGACAGGAGTCCAGAGCGAAGGCTGTATGTAAAGTAGAGTGGACCTGGGGGAGGGATTGTAAAACAATGAAAGAATTTTTGTTTTACTTTTCAAAGAGTGTGGTGCACTGGGTGGCAGGAGATTTGGGAGGGGAGAAAAGTCCAACAATGAATAAATGGAAATCCAAAGTCTCTGTAAATTTTCATTGAAATTAATAATAATTTTTTTAAAAGATAAAATGTAATATAGGCCCACATTCCCAAGGAAATTCTTCTTAAAATGGATCAGGGTTATGACTTCATAAGAATGTCACATCCTACCCTAATCCTCATGCACCTGATTGGCTTATCATAACAGATCAGATCACATGATAGAAGATGATTACATCCTTGGACTGATGGACTGTCCCTGTGGCTTTACCTATGGCCTGAAACAGCAGAGATGGTGAGAATGGCTCAGGTTTAGGCGATGTTTTATTCTATTGTATATAGTGCTATATGATGGAAAATTGACTTGATGGACCTGAAAACAACAGCATAAAACAGATAAATGACAGCTGTTATGATGAAACAGTGGTATGAGCATTCATCTGTTAATCAAAAGGTTGAGGGTTTGAAACCACAAAGATACTCTGTTAGGACAAGATGAAGCTATGCCCATTAAGATTTAAAGCTTTGGAAATTCTACTTTGTCTTTGAGGGTC